TTGGCCATCTCCCTGGGTAGTGAGGCCTTCCCATACTCTTACGGTACTTGGCTGGGCTGTGAGGTGCCCAGTGAGCCTGACAGTACGCACGTGTTCTTTTCTAGTACCCAGAGCAGGAGACTGTGAATCTCTTCATCCCAACCCAGGCTGTGGGTGCTATCATCGGGAAAAAGGGGGTGCACATCAAACAGCTGGCTCGATTTGCTGGTGCCTCTATCAAGGTAAGATCATTGCTGTCAGCTGCCTGTCCCCTTGGTCTCCTCTGGTCAGTGCCAGACAGTTCTTACACCACCCAGAGACAGAATCTGCAGAATGTATTTCCAGGACCCTTCCTGTCTGCTCCCATTCCTCATCATAGTCCTTTCCAGTTCCACCAAACAACTACGTTAGAAGAAAGATACTAGTACTGACCAAACTGGGTCCTCTGAGGATTGGCATTGTCCCCTCTTCTCAGAGGATAAAAGAAAGCTGAAGATCTTCCCCCCCCACCCCCCGCCAGCTGAGGGGATGCGCTCAAGTGGAAGGAGCAATTGTGCTAGCACTCAGCACACCGGTGCGTCATTAGTCTGTAGCTAGAGTTTTCCTGCCTTGCCCACAGTCAGGACAAATCTTTGTCACCCGCCAGTCCCATAGCCTCTCAGACCCAACCAAGTAAACACAGAGACTTATATTGCTTACAAACTATATGGCCATGGCTTCCCGTCATCTTCACATACTTTTTGTCATGGCGGCTGGCAGTGTCTCCTTTTGCCTTCCTGTTCTTTCTTTTCTCCTCTCTTAGTCCCGCCTATAATTCCTGCCTAGCCACTGGCCAATCAGTGTTTTATTTATTGACCAATCAGAGCAATTTGACCTACAGACCATCCCACAGCATTAGTCCATGCTTCAAGGACTTACAGACTATGAGAAAACAAAAATTGAATGAAGAACTTTCTGGAAGGTGCTGATAAAATCATGGGCAGACAAGAGCTGATGGCATCACCTGTTAGGAGGTCAGGACTGAGCAGAAGGCTAGGGACGTCCTCTTGCTTGCCTCTCTCGGTTGTCAAGGATTGTTTGCCGTGGGCCTGCTTCAAGCCCGGCTGTCAGCTCTGCTAAGACGCTGAACACTGCCGGGAACACTTCCCACTGCTGTGGAAGACAATTTGCTACCATGAGACAACCCCAAATTATGAAACCGAGTCTCATGACTTGGAGAGAAAGAATACTTACACTTTCTCCCTAAGAGCTGGAGTTTCTCCCGCAGCAAGTA